TTTGTCTATGATAGTTCAGTAAATCATTGCTTTCTATAAAATAAAAAATATTCTAATCCACTGTCCTGTTCTCAGAAAATATTTCCAAGTCTACTAGACTGACTGACCCAATCCTTTGAACTGCTTTAATTTTCCATCTTTCTTCTGCTGCTCAAAGCAACCAGATGGTCTGAATAGCTTCTTGCCCATTTGCACAGCAACGTATATGCCTACTACAAGATGAAACAAGTTTCCTGCTGAGGAACTGAAGCAGCAGTCAGCTGTCCTCAACTGGGAGGACACCTCATTAGATCCTGTAATATTAAATCTGATAGATGATGGGAAACCTGTTAGAGCTTTGGAAGGGGACAGAAATGCATAGAATTATTGCTAATTATTTTTACTTGCCTTCAATAGGGAGAGCGCTATACAGCTAAAATACTATTGACTTCATTTATTCATTACTACAAAAAAATTATTTCTGCACCTAATAAAGTGAACTTGTGCTTTAGTTCTGCTGTTTGTGTCCTTGCAAGACAAAGGTGTGCACACAGTAATTCATTGTATTAATTTTCTACACTAACTATTTACCATCCTAAGCTAAGAAATATGTTCCATGGAGACAGGACTGGTTTGGTGTCCTTCAATGAGCATGCTAAGTACTGCACTCATACCTCTTTATCAACTAGTTTATCTGTTGGTGGACACATTTTGTCTGCGAGGCAACTTTATACTGACATTTGAATTTTTGAAGATTTTAATCTCTAGTCAAGTGTTAGTGTGACATGAAGTTGAGTAATTACATCTGGAGTATAATTTATATGTAAAATGAAGTGATGGTGACTAGAAAACTATACACTTTCAGATAAACTGTACTGGTTCTCAGAGTAAAAAGGGATTTTTCCTAGGTCAGTGTAAAGTGGACACAGGAAACTATTGCTAGGGTGGCCAATAAATATATTTCCATCCAGTAAAGACTAAGGAAGCAATGCAACATCATACAGGGTGCTGGTGATTAACCTCTTCCACATTCCCTGCAGTTATTTTCTTGAAGAAAAAAAGTGTTCAGGAATCACATAGCAACGGGGGGGGGAGGGGAAATTATCACCTACAGTGGCATATCAATACAGTCCATAAGAACGATTAACCTGGTCTCAGTTGGAACCAAAACTGTGGCCTTATTAGCCTAATTCTTTAAAATTCATCCTGTGGGTTGCACCATTTAGACTTTCCTGAAGTCAGTCTTCCGTATTGCCATTTTTAAGGTATGTAGAATTTCCTATCCAGAGTGTTCTGTCACATTAAGACAATAATAAAATAGAACTTATGCATTCCCTGTTTTATATGGATATGGGCAAGCTTCTTCAGAAATTCATAGTGTTCCAAAAATTCAACCTGATGCTCTTGCTGAAATACTGCCATGGCATTGTAGAATCACTCTAGATTGAAACAACATTTGAGATCACTGAGTCCAGCCATTAACCCAAGCACTAACAATTCCACCACTAAACCACATCCCATGTATGTGTGCATCTAAGATACTGGTGATCAGATTATTTTATTTATAACCTTCAGAACAACTTTAGCTTTAAACTTTTATTGTTGTGCTTTTTAGTCAATGCCTTGACATTGTATTTAAGCCTTTTTCATATTCCTTTGAGCTGTATTGTTCTGCAGGAAAGAGCTGACCCTAGCAGAACACAAATTATGATTTTCACAGATGAAATAATTACATTTGTATTACATACAGACTGTAAGAATAAATCTATTTTTTTAGCATCATTTAGTGCTTTCAAAGAGTGACATTTCATTAGGGCAGTGATAGACATTTGTTTCAAAATGTTCTAGGGAACAGTTATCCACGAGATTAAATAATAAAGTAAAACTTGCATTAAGAATTGAATTACAGGTTCATTGTAGCCTAATACATAATTATTAATTGGAATTAAAGACATGCTTTTGTTTGGAAAGGAAAGATAGAAGTATTTGACACACTGAAAGCATCAGCATGAAGGTAAGGCACCATGCCAAATGCAGACAGAAATATTAGTAATATGCTACTGACGCTTATTTTTATTCTAATAGAGAACCTTGTTTGTCCAAGCTGTTTGAAAATAGTCTGTGCGCTTTGTATTTCACTAGACACTCTTGTGTTATTATTGTTTGCATTTCCTAGTCTATTTAAATCAGTTGAATGTCAAGGAAAGCATAATTATTGAGGGCACCATGTGCACTCGATGCTACTAAGACTAATTTTAAATATATCATGAATATTTTCATTACTTTGTTCTTTTCATGAAAAACAAACTTTGATTTATTTAAATGAACACAAGTGTTTGATAGGAACATATTTCAATATTCTGTGTTCTTCGTCTCTGATCCAGGTAAAAGAGATTTTGTATATTATGTCTTATTAGGATTGAGAGTCTGTTCCAAACAAATAACTAATAGATGAACACATACAATTAACAAACACATTAGTCTTGTGGCCAGAGTACAAATTATGCCATTGGTGCATGTAACAAAGCAATATAGAGGATGTATCAGTGACTATAATACAATTCTTATCAGTTAAGACACATTGCTGGAAATGCAGCACTGAAGTATTCATCAGATGATATTTTTTTCTGTGAGAAGCTGTAGTTCATCTTTTGAATGACACCATTCAACTGGATTTAGAACACAAAGTTTTCCTAGCTTCCTGAGCAGGCAGGCTCCACAGCAGCAGTCCCTGCTCAGTTTCTAGGCACTTGGGACATTTGTCATGTCTTTTCTGACCCATTCTTTATTGTCTTATCTAACTAGTACACTCCATTATGGTTACTAAAAGCCTTGCAAACAGATATTCTTCAACCAGAAGTTGTGAGTTAACAGAGTTCTGTACATTATAGTTTTCAGTGATTTTTTTTTTCTATTCCCCTTACTTGACAAGAATAATAAAAGATGAAAAAAGGGGAAAAAAACAATTGTATTTGTTGCACCAATATCCATTCATTCCATGGTCCCAGTCTCCTGTGATGAAATCTAACATTGTCTCTTATGGCTTCTTCCCATTCTTTTTGTTTAAATTATCTAAAATACAGTGGTCAAGACTACTAATGATGAAAACTGTACTTTCTCCATTTTTTTCCTGCACGCTTCAGAATTATTTGGATACAAAGACAGCATTTGTTTTGTTTGGGGCGTTTGATGCTTTTTCAACCTAAGTACTTGTATTTGTTGAGAACAGCAGAAGATATTTCTTTATGTCTCTAGTACTGTTTGCAGCAACTTTAATTGAAGAAAGCTGAAAATCAAAAGGTGATCATTAGTCACACAGATTTTTCAGACAGTTATCTATAAATTCAACCATGTATTGTAAAACTTTATTATTTGCGAGATCTGAAGAATATCTTAGGAAATGGAGCAGGCATTCACTGCATTTAACTGCTCCCTTTGGGCAAAATGTCCTTCTCACTCTTGTAACTAAAATGCAGAGGGTTCAGTCTAAGAAGAAGAGGTTGGGGTGAACTAGGAGCTAGAAAAGGAAAGGGCTGACCTCTTGCTATACCTGGCTGTTTCTTTACAGTAAGTTGTCATTATTGCATGGGCATCAAGTTTTGTGAGGAACTTCAGGTCAAGAACCCTTGCAACACCCAGTAGTCTCTATAAATTCTTGCAGCACTGTTAGGGTTTAAGCACATTCTGTGCTAGTACTGGTCCCATGTTTATTTCCTTTAATTTATCCACTGCAATTTAAGCATTTTATCCCCTAAGCCTTCAGGGTAAGGTAGTATGTGGAAATTCCTCAAGAAGTACGAGACAAAAAAAAAAAATCAAGGTTCTTTACATTCTAGATTAACAAAAGATTTATTTTCTAAAGACATACAACAAAAAAATAAAAGAACTTCATTGGCACTTTGTATAACTGAAGTCTGAGGAAGTCTAAGGTCTATTTTTGTTAGGAAAGAACATTTGTTTTTCCACACTTGAGAATGATAGTTTGATTGACACTGAGCATGTAATGGACACAAAAGCAACATAGGAGACAGTTTCCTACTTTGTATTTAAATATGAACAGGTATGAACTCATAACTCTTGACTGCTGGAACTGGTTAGGGAAACTATCTCTCATCCTACCTGAGCTCAAGAATTCTTGATATTTCTAAATGCTTTCTTATTCCCCAGCTTGAAAATATACTTAATGTAAATTAATCTAAGTACATAAATATTCTACTCCATGTTATGATGTTACATGCCTTAGACATTTACTTTGGTCTTTATGCAGTAACCCTGTTACTGTGGGTTTTAGAATCAGCAATCACAACTTTGGGGCTGTATCCTGGGACTCCGCATATAGCTTTGGTTTCCACTGTTCCAGAATAACAAATTTCTGTTGCAGGCACTTGCAGAGAAAAGCTACTAGACTAATCAAATGGATTCCATTTTTTAGCCTAATGAGAAAAAAAGTCTAAAGTCCTAAGTTTGCTCTCCTAAAATACCTAGCACATAAACTCCAAGGAAACAGAAGGCATTTTCATGCTTCAAGTATTTTTTTTTATAACAGCTCTTTTATTCAAATATCATTACATCATGTACTGCATTGGCTTAGTAAATCTAGTGAATTATTAAAGGCATTGGTCCTCTATGGCAGTTGTATATATAAAAGAAAATCAATATAATCACTTGGGTTAATTCAGCACTTGGGTTAATCAAAGTCAGAAGGCTGTGTTTGACAGCTGATGGACCGTTTCTTATAACTTGAAGCGTTATTTTAAAAAGGCTTGATAAAATCAGAGTTCAGAGCAAGAAAACCTACAGGCAGGTCTCTTAATGAACATGAGTTTTTTTTTCAGAGTACCAAAACCAGAATCAAAGACCTCCAAAATTGCCCCTGCAAGCTTGTGTAAACAGCAATAGAAAAATTATTACTGAGTACTGAATTATTACTTGTTAGCACTGAGTCAATGTCTAGCTTTTAAGTTTCGCAAGGTTCACTAACTTCTTTGTTTCCTGTGTGTGTTGAATTTTTCTCTCCACAGAGATCTGCCTTTTGACCAAAGGCCGTCGAACTGCCAGTGTAAGAGCAGACACATACTGTCGCCTGTATTCCCTCTCAGTGGACAATTTCAACGAGGTCCTGGAAGAGTACCCCATGATGAGAAGGGCCTTTGAAACAGTGGCAATTGATAGGCTAGACAGAATAGGTATTTATTTTTTTTCCATATCCTTAATTCTTAAAACCTTTCTGCATTTTCTTTTCCTTGAGTTGCATGATAAAATGACACTCTTAAAAATGAAAACTCCTGTCATAAGTTTTGTTTGTTATACAGCAGTAAATGTTTTGTTGATCTATAAATAACACGTGTGCCAACATGAAATTTTGCAATCTCACTTTTAAATAATAAAAACCACAAAGTTTTAGAAAGTTTTCATACTCTTTTAAGCATATTTTTCATACTTTAATTATCATTAGTATTATTTATTAGTCCTGTAGATTTCTTTTGCTGCCTTCAGCACTTGATAGGATTTATGCTGTTTCATGAGCTGTAGATGACATTTTCCTAAATAAATTGCTTAGAGATGACATCTATAATGCTGGGAAGAGCTGAAGCCTCTCAGCACTCACAAACTCCTTGTTTGTTGAAGTGAATTAATCCTTTGCAGTAGGGCTCTCATTTTCCTCACAACATGGGCACTGCTAGCCTTGATGGCTGCACACTGGCATTGCTCAGATCTGCTTGCAATCAGAAAAGCAGGCCAACAACATCCAAGTGAAAGGCAGAAAGGTATGGCAGATTATCAAAACAGGGGGTGTGAAATTGCCATCGTGCATCCCAATATTCTGGACCTCTGTAATAGGACACAGTAGGCAAAATATATGGTCTTTGGTCAGGAGAATTGCACTCTGATTATCGACACTGGTTTTAAAAGGCAGCTGTGAAAAAACTCACAACTTCACAATAAAATTCCAGTGTAAGGATTTCTCCACATCCCTCTTTCTGAATACTTGTAGTTTCTTCAAAATTAAACCAAAAAGAATTGCAAGGGACTGTTGTGCTGCCTGTTCTAAGCTGAAGATGTGATTTGGAAAAAAGTATATTTTCTTTAGTATACCAAAAAGAATTGCAATACAGGTATACAGGTTTCTAATTTTAATAGAGGTGTTTTAGTATTCTGCAGATTATGAGCACTCCATGCATTAAACTCTTAAAATTTGTCTCTCGAGACTCTCTGAAAATGTAGTCCAACTCTAAGTAATAGGTGCTTGAATAATATTAGCAGTAAAGTCCAGTCCATTTGGGAATAGCAATCCCATCTGAAGTGTTTTATCAGAAAAAAAAAAAAGGAGCAATTGAGTGCCATTGTGTTCCTGTGCATCTGATGACTCAGACAGAATAGCATCTACATCTTGCAAACACTGGAACCCATCAAGCAGACATTAGGATGCAGTGTACAGCAGTCTTTATTCTGCAAGCAGGTTGTCACATTAGCCATAAGTTCATATGAGTTCACATTTAAAAGGATGATTTCTTGTCAATTGGTAGCCACTGGTTACTAATGTCTAGTTATTACTTCCCAGGAATGTGCTAGATAGCAGGTGTATTTATGTTATGTTAACAGCTCAGTGAAAATCTGGTTTTGCAATGAACAGAGAAAGATGATGTAGATGCAGAGCACGGTAACTCTTGCTGTAAGTTGTTCAGTAAATTGCCATTCTTACATGTAATTGTAGTAACAGCAGTAAAATGCAAGTGAAGAGGCACATAGAGTCCGAGCATCTGAGCACAGGGGTCTTACACGAGCCCGCTGCGCTGGTGCGGGGAGGGGATGTACAGGCTGCAGGTGGAGGCAGCCATGGGGAGCTGTGACCAGCGTGGGCCACTGTGGCAGTGCCCGGGTGGCGCAGTCCCCTCCTGCACTGGGCTGGGGCGGAGCAGGGGCCTTAGTTCAGCCACCCGGTGCCTGCCGAGGCTTTTACAATACACAGCACCCATGCTGGGTGCTGAAACACAAAGCCAGAATGGGGCTCTGCCCCCTGTGCCTCAGGATCACTAACTCTTCTGCCTCTCTGTGAAGGGAAGAAGAACTCAATCCTCCTGCAGAAGTTCCAGAAAGACCTCAACACCGGCGTTTTCAACAATCAGGAGAACGAGATCCTGAAGCAGATCGTGAAGCACGACAGGGAGATGGTGCAGACCATCGCCCCGGTGAGCCTGCAGCAGATGCCGGCCCTCAACTCCAGCACCTCGGCCTCGTCGTCGCGCGGTCGGACGCAGTCGCCACCCGTGTACAGCACCAGCAGCCTCTCCCACGGGAACCTGCACTCCCCCTCGCCCAGCACGCAGACGCCCCAGCAGGCTGCCGTCATCCTCTCGCCCTGCTCCTACACCACAGCCGTCTGCAGTCCGCCGGTACAGAGCCCGCTGGCCGGCCGAACTTTCCAGTACGCCTCGCCCACCGCCTCGCAGCTCTCCCTGATGCAGCAGCAGCAGCAGCAGTCGCAGCAGCCGCCGCCGCAAGCGTCCCAGCAGCCCCCCGGCGCGGCGCAGAAGAACGAGGTGCACAAGAGCACCCAGGCCCTCCACAACACCAACCTGACGCGGGAGGTGCGGCCGCTCTCGGCCTCGCAGCCCTCGCTGCCCCACGAGATCTCCACGCTGATCGCCAGGCCTCACCCCACCGTGGGCGAGTCCCTCGCCTCCCTCCCGCAGCCCGCCCCGGGTGCCGGCGTGCCCCCGGCCGGCCGCGCCTCCGTCCCGCAGCGGGTCTCGCTCTTCCGACAGATGTCCTCGGGAGCCATTCCCCCGAACCGGGGGGCCGCGCCGCCCTCTGCTCCCCTGCAAAGGGATTCTTCCACAGTCTTAAGCACAGAGCCCGAGGGAGACAAACCGCGTTTCGCCTCAAACTTATGATCCCTGATGACTGTGAGCAACAGACTTTCAACAAACCGAGCACCATCCCCCGAACTGTTGTAGCCTGTTTCCTAATGTTCCCCAGCAGTCTACTATGAGAAAAATACTTTAGATAGCTTTGCCCTATGTAACGAATGTAAAAATTATATATGTATATGTATATACATATATATGTATACATATATATATTAAAAGAATTTAAAAAACTTGTTTGAATTCATGTCTTCCTTGCTCTCAACCATTAAAGAAAATTAAATTTAGCTGTAATGTTTTTAATGTGTTGACTTCAAAATCAGCCTAAGAGCTGTTCTCTGTCTAGGGGATCTGCTATTTTCATGGGAGAATTGTCAACACAATAACAAACAAATATATTAAAAAAAAAAAAAGAAAAAGAAAAAAAGAAATATCGGTTTGACTAACAAGTAACACGTAGCACTGACCGAGTGATATTCTGAAATCTGTGTTATTTCATTTATTGCATATATGATGTTAATTTCTTGTGAAGAATTCAGTTGTTATTTTGCATTACATTTCATATGTTAGCACCATCCATTTGGATTTAGGTTGGAAAAGCATTATATTGCAAACATCTGCAGTCTAAAGGGTGGCACTAGCACTCCTCTGGATAGGTTGTAACCTCATGACATGTCAACCCTTCTGTTGTTTAAGAAAATTGGGTGGACTTTGATCTTCATATTGCTAAAGACTTTTACAAAGACTAAATATTGCCATTGTAAATAACTTTTTAGAACCAAGCAAAAATAGCTGCTGTGTGGTGTACCATTGCAAGGTCTTTGTTTAGGAATTTAGGTTCCGCTTTTCACTTCAAAATTTACAGTTTTAAAATTTGTTAAAGCTAAGTGCAACACAACTGTTAAATTGTAATGCAATGGCTTAAAACCTACGGTGTTACTTTTACATGCAATGTTTTATGCAAAATTGTACGCTTGATCCTGCAAACCGCTTGTACTTCACCAATACCATCACTTTTCTTCTTCTTGCCCTCAATAGCATCTGAGAATATTCCATGCATGCTTTGGAAAAAAAAAAAAAAAGACGATAAAATAGGTTTGGTCAGTAGGAAAAGGCTTTATGGTATCTTAGAAAATAATAACCATTCATTAATTGTGTCTACCTTAAAATTCCTATAATGCTGACTTTGAATCTCTGGTTTAAGTCTAGAAGTGAGGTTTTTCATTTAAAGGATTATTTGTAAACCACAGCTTGATTTAGACTTTCAGGTGCTTTCTGTGTCTTCACTGTAGTTTTGTAGTTGACTGTGGTGTTAATTTACAAAAATAAATATAATATAGCATCAAGTCTGTCTGGAAATGCACGATTTGCTCTGTGTATATTGTAATTAAATGGTTAGTATATCCTAAGGCATGTAGTGTCAAACATAGCCCATAGGTATGAGGTTTATTATTTTTTATGTCTTCAAAACAGAAAGGAAATGGTGACAGAAAGCAGGGTTAAAGCATACTGTTTTGTGAACATTTTGTTTTGTTTGCTCAAACCTTCACATTATCTTATCCAGAAAAAAAAAATTCGTAATCATTTGTGCCTGATTTGTCACATTAAATAGAGATTGAGACTAAATGTGTCATAATTCAACTCATTAAAAATCAGCATTATGGATATGATATAAGCATATATTCTGTTCCTTAAAACCAGGCTGATTCATGTTAAGGAAGTGAATGCAAAGGAGTTCTCTTTCCATTAATGCTGAATTTAACGATGCATGGAAAAATTAAATAACATCACAAACTACGTAATGCAGTGAATCCAGATGTACTTGAGAGCCAAGTAAAATATACTAAAGCTAACAGAGCTTGAGCCCATGCTGCCTGTTATACGTTTTACTAAAATGGTACATCAAATAAAATTTTTTAAAAATCTTCCTTTTTTTTTTTTTTTGCTGACTCACACTCACCAGTAAAAATCGATGTAATTAACCCACTAACATGCTGCTGCCATTAATTTAAGTGACCTGGAGTGGAAATGGGGAAATGATTGTTTAAAAAGTGTCTCAAACATTATGGATACGCTGCAAGACCATTTATTTATCAGTAAAATACCCCTTATATTATTTTAATGCTAACAAATTCTGTCAGTTAACTAAGATCATGTACTGATCTTGAAAACTGTTTAAGGTTTACATTTAATAGGAGAAATGGGGTTAGTAGCAAAATATTTTTATATATATTTTTATTTTATTTTAAGCACTATGAAGAAATATTAATTCACATGGTCTTTCAGTGAAACCATAAATAATTTTTAATGACTTTGTAATAGAGTGGACAATATCTAGGATTTGTATGTTAATTAAAAAAAATGGTACAGGGTATAAAATTATATACGTATATATATATGTATGTATGAATGTATATATACTTAGATTAAGAAACAAATGACTCACATTCCTGTAATATAAAGGTCCATTGCTAGTTTCAGAAGTGACCTATTTTCTCTGTACATAAGTAAGCCCATAAGTATGAAATCTCACATCTGTACAAGTTGCAATGTATTAATGAAAAAAGGTTGGATCTTACTGCTGCTGGGAAGACTATAGGTCTGGTTCTTACAATAACTGTATGATCAGGGATGAGTTAGATTTTTTCTTTTGTCTTTGCTCAAAGCCATAAATAAACAAATATAAAAGATTATTAATAAATTGAAGAAAATATATAAAAAATAAAACCATGAATATTTTTTTGTTCCAGTATCTTTATAACTGAGAAAGTTTTGCTTTAATATGGAAGAAGAATTGTTGCTTATCTCTTTTCTTTATTCTGAGCCCAGAAGTGGTATGCACTAAGTGTGGGGAGGTGGAGAGAAAACTGCCTTAGTAATTATGCGCACTCTTGAAAGAAGGGGGCTTAGGAATTCAAGGATACTACCTTATTTACTCAAGCAATTCCTAAACTATATTTCCTCTTCAGATCAGAGGAATTAATTTCCCTACAAAACTTTCATTTAAGTCATTAATATTTATCTGTAATATTTTTTAAGTACAAATATTTGAAATTTACATTTGTTTTTGTATAAAATATTAAATATCCCGGTAGAAGATCCTAAAGAGCTGTAAGTATAACTTAAGGAAACTGTATTCTGTCATATTTTCACTTTATCTTGCTGTGTGTGCCAATCCCAGATGATATACCTCTGAACTTGTGTATAATAGTTCAGATGTCAGGGGAACACTGATGTGAAATTAATGTTCATTATTTATATTTTAGGACATTGTAAATTAAAAAGTATAGTGCATTCAAAGCAATAGCACATTATGTGTTTTACATTATCTTCGGTAGGATCAGTAGAATCCTAGACTGATAAACTGATTTAAGCAAGCATGAGTAGTTGTATTTTCAATTTGCACTCTAGAGTATATTGTGAATTCCTTTCACTTGTATTTAAGTTTGTTTTTTTCACTTTGCATTACTAAGATATTGCTTCAGTCTGACAGTAGTCAATGAAGTGATTTTCAAAAATACCATCAGGGCACTAGAAAAATCTTGTTTAGCAGCAACAGTTCAGTTCTCCTGTCTACATTTGACCACTGCACAAAGTATACTTTGCTCTTTGGTTCAGTCTTATTATTCCATACATGTTTGCGTGCAGAACCAAAAGAAACAAAGGATTGTTTTTAAGTGATATTTCATATCCCTGTATATGGTATTGATGTGTATCTACACACCAATTTATGTATTTTTAAAATCTCTCCATTTCGAGTGTCTATATCTACCTCAGCTTACTTCCTACCTTATCTTGAACTGGAACCAAAGTAAATTTTATTTAAAAAGCAAACTTTCATGTCTTGATGCATGTCATTAAGAGTTAAGCTTAATATTTCTATTTTCAAAATTTATTCATGAGTTATCAAACCAATTTCAATATTTCTATACATTTGCATTAATTTCTACTCTACAAGTGACATTGTCCAGTGAAGAAAAACATTTTATTTTGAAAATAAGATGTTAAATTTTTAAATGAGCCTGCAGTTCAACTGCTCTGGAAATATGCAGTGATGTTAGTAATTTCTGCTGTTCTTAAGTCCTCTACTCATTCCAAAAAATTGTTACAATATAGGAACAGAAAGTGTTTACAAATCATGGGTCTGAGCTACACGCACTCTAAAAATTGAGTGTGCAGATTTATTTGTTTAGTGGACTTGGCCTTTCGTCTCCTTCCTTTTTAATTAGGGAAGAGTAAGAGCATTAATATTGCCCTGGAGCATGTCCTATGAGAAATACATGCTGTGAGTCTTGAATTGGTACATTTTTCACCAACAATCAGTACCGAGCACTCCGTTGCATACTTAGCACTAGAATGCTAGTGTGAATCACACCCTGGCTGGCCCAGTGGACGCCATCCAGATGGTATAATTTCTGATCCATGGTTACCTTTTTTCTCATCTCAGTGAAGACGTAGTACTTTCACATGCAATATCTTAACAGGAGTGTGGTAGCACTGAATTTTTCAGGTCAAGATATAGGCACATTAGAAAGAGAAAAAACAGGAACATTAGAAATAGAAAAGCAGTGATAGTAGACAAGCAGAGTACCCAACTAAATTAATTGATTTTAAATCTACCTGTGTATCTTCCATATACATTTTTAAATATTGCTATCAATTCCATTAAATGGTTTAAGAGGTATTCCAGGTCAGGTGATCCTTGGCCTATGAACTGATGGACTCAAGCACACATTTGAACTGAATCTAAACTTTTCCTCATCCTTGCAACTGTTCCTGTCATATGATGTTATTTCACCTGCTTGCAAAAGATACCATATTTTTTTTACCATTCTCCAGTTTTACGCGTCAGATTTGGAATATGGTTCCCCCTATACTCTGCTTTGAAGAGATTATGCAGTGCTGAGTTAGTTCTTGCTGAAAGGTCATTTGCAAGTTTGGATCAAGTAGAACTGCAGCACAAAAGAGAGGAGATTGAATGTCGTAGTTTCAATCAGTCGAAACTAGCCTGTGCACTAAAGGGAAGCAGGTACTTGAACCATTTTTCTGGAAAGTCGTCAGGGTACTGGAGGGACTCTTACACAAACCCGTGGTTCAATCTGAAAATGCATCTCCAATGTCAGCTGCTTCTGGACTCCACAGTTACTGAAAAGTTTACATAGACACAAGCCATAGTTCCTATAGCATTAGTGAAGCATCTCATCTGTCTTCTGTTTAATGACTACTCCACTCTTTATAGGTTCCATATTGCACTTGACATCACAAAATCTGAGATGTTCTCTGGGTGGTACATTGAGTATGACCGCTACTTATACATCCACTTCCACATCTTTTCTTCAGAAAGGAAAATATGTGCAGTCTGTGTTCAGTTTTGTTGTTGCAGTGTAGAGGTTTTAAATTAAAAGGTCTGTTTTGAAGTAAGAAAAGTTCCTGTGTATCAGAGAACAATAACTGCAGATCTCAGTTCTTCTAGGGCAGGTTCTTCTTGAATTGAATTTTTTATTTCTCTGCAAAGTCAACATTAATAACGAGTTTGCTGTGCTTGTTACACTAGAGGTGTAGTCTGCATTTTTCAGGAGATACCTGCAGAGTTTTATAGCAATTAGTTTTTTCTAAGCACTGGGAGATTTACATCCAATTATATTGGTTCCTCTATCCAGCCAAGAGGCAGTGTCAGGAATAACTGATGCCAGGGCATTGTCCACTGCAGCAGGAAATCTAAGTAAAGAGTGACAATCACCAGCAATATTAGAGGCCCTCTTACAAAGAACCAGAAATACTCCTATATATGACCTGGACTGATCAATTCACATCTGAACCCTGTATGATAAAGTAGATTATATTGTAATTGCAAACTTTGCCTTTTTAACATCTGCTGGTCAAGACCCTTTTTGTCTGTGATTTGTCTTCATCCTGTGCTGTCATCTTGGCAACAGAAATGTGTACTAATATTTGCAGGCAGTGCTGTATCTCAACTGTATTTCAGTTTAGTTGGTTTCTACATTGATATTCAAAAAAGATTTAAGAAATACTAAAAAAAAAACCAACAAAGGAAACAAAACAAAACCAAAAAACCCCAACCAATCAAACGATAAAGGAAGTGCATTGTGTGCATTTTACCAAGTAATGGAATGGTTTTTACATCTTCTTTCTTTTCTCCAGTAGCAAGAAGTTGTTCATCAGATCCACCAGACAAATCAGATTACAGATGGAATAGCTCAAGGCTTTTGCTCTTCTTCATGTCTGTTTTGCAAGAAAAAAAGATGTGGACACAATTCAGAACTCCTATCAAAATCTTGATTGAACTAATGCACAAAGAGAAATAAAAATTCTTTATAGAGTATATGCTAATCTTAGGTCAACTAGCACATAAAATCAGAAAACAACCTTTTAGACCATGGAAAAAAATTCATTTGTTCACCACTGCGTGCATGACTTAAAGTGGTATGTGCCCCTAAACACTGTATAACCCAATCTATGGGTTAGTTCAAAAATAATCTCTGAGCCAGAAAATGAGAGACTGCACCTTTGGACTTTTAATCTTCTGTTTTGTTTGCACATGTTTAAATGTCCCAGAATAACAAATCCAAATTAAAAAAATAAAAAAATAAAAAAAAAGGACTTTACAAATCCTTAGGGTTTTGATCCTCTATAAATAAGCATTTGAACTGGGTTTGTGTTTTTTATGAGAGCTGAATTAATCAGAATGGAAGTGTTTCATATGTGACATCTCTCAGATCTGGAGTTTGAGAAGATGAATACTTAATAGCTATTATTTTTTTGCTCAAGTCTATGACAGTCAAGTGTTCTGTGAAAGAGGAGTCATGTTTTTAACTGGTCTTTTGTCATTGATTTTACAGCTTGCTAAGAAAAGAATTGGCATTGTTAATAACTGGGAAAAACTGACATATCTGGGA